CACAGTCCCTCTTCCTCTTTTCTCTGGAATCCATGTCTGTCAGAAAGGAAAGAGCAACAACTGCTTCAGTTGCAGGGGAACATAATGAAAACTATGCCTTATGTAAGGCAATCTTGTGAAATGTCTTTCACTTGATTTTATCTCCCCTCTTACTTTCATAGGATACTAGGGCCTAGAGATTTCCAATTACTGTAGCACCTGGACATGGAACAGAGGGTTACTTAGATTTAACGCTATAAAAGTCTATTATTAATAATGCGATTCCTTATTGGTCTCTATCAAGTTTTAATTAAGACATAAGGGGAAGACATAAAATATCCTCGCTTTAAAATAACCTCGAGGTCTTTGTTTTTTTATGCATTTAAGTTAGTTTTTCTTATTTTAAACAGTATCGTGATTAACATTAAAATCTTCAACAGTTCCAATGCAAGATATTCTTAATTCAGAATTCCTGCGGTCACCGGTTATTCTTATATAAAGTTAATGCACAAATAATCGTTGTGTATACATTTTGATTAAAAAAGTAACGTACAGATATAATAAAAGTACTCTTAGGAAATCAGCATCAATGAATATCCAGCATCCAATTAAACAAAAATAGTAACACGTGCCAAGTACAATAAAGAGGACCAACATACTGTAACTAATGAGAAGAAACTATCTTCCTCACCGAGAGGAAAACTATAACTTAATATTTTTTCTTTGTACGGGTAAATACTTTGCTTATGTGTTATGACTCACTATGTTCTATGCTCACAAAGTAACTGAGTAAAATGTCATTATTTCTTTACCATGCTAATCTGCACCGTTCCCTTTAACATTGTTTTCCTATCGCTACTTACCTGTATTTAATCACTACAGAGGTAAATTAATTAACCCAGTTATTTATTTTTGCACCCATAGTTAATCCTGATGTTATTACATCGTGATTTTGCATGCATATATCAATAAACCATAACTACACATCTACACATCCGCAAACACCACGGAACATTGCTATTTGTACGTCCCATAATGCATTTCGCTTTTAAGGAAGACTTAACACTGTTGTGTTAAGGTGGAAATCTGTAATCTATCTCAAGTTGGACAGTCAAATGTGGCAATATTTTCCACGTCACTATATTTAGATTGTTATTTAGACTAAATTAAATATGTTAGTACAGAGTACTCATTTAGTATTCATTTGTAAGTTATTACTTACAAATGAGACCACTGAAAATGCTTGGCTGTGTTCACAACTCTGATTCCAAGAAAAGGAATGCAAAGTGCTTCCTCATCGATTACTGATAAACTACTGAGACCTACTCCAAATCACTCATCCCAACTGGAATCCAGCTATATCATTTTGGGGCTTCCTTACTTAAGTGGAAACTGGAACAGGAACAGGAACTGATCAATGTTTTTTTTTAATTTATCTTTTCAGTTTTTATTACTCAAAAGTATTACTAAAGAAATTATAAAAAATCAAGAACATACAAAAAAAGAAAATGAAATATATAACGATATATTAACAGATGAATTAATAATCAAATAGATGCCAGACATACAGTATGAGTTTCATCAAGCATGAGACCACTATCAACGTCAATCCAGGTGGATGCTGCACATTGGTGGTGGTGGAGGGGAGTCCCCATTACCTGTAAAGCACTTTGAGTGGTGTGTCCAGAAAATCATTATATAAATTTAAGGAATTATTATTAAGTTATACTTTGATAAGCATAGAAAAGAAATAAATAACAGCCCAGTATTGTTAGTCTCCTTTATGTAAAATCGGACCCTACACCCTCAGAAATGTTTCAGGTGACATAAAAATCAAAAAACATATCCTATCCATATGAGTAATTGTTATCATTTCACACTCACATTTCTGTAAGCAAGGAGAGATGGAGGATTTCAAGTCTTTGAGAATTCATCATTCTCTTAACTATTACGATTCCAATCATCAGGGCCAACTGTTCTTCAAATGTGAATCTTGTAATAGCTTCTAAAAAGATCTCAAAAAGAGCAAATATTGGTTCAGAAGTAATGACTTTCCTTTGAACATGAGAAAACCAATGAAATATATTTGACTAAAAAAATGGAACTCAAGACAGAGACAATAGAAATCTGTTAAGGAGCCCTCTGCCATTTTACATCTATTACATAATAGGGAAACTGACAGATATATTCCATTCAACTTATTCTTTGAGCAATGAAGTCTACATGACTTTAAATGGAATCAAATTAGTATACATCTGACATTCACTGAACAGATTTGAATTCTAGACATTTTCCTTTTAAATAGTGTGTAATTTGTAGAAAACATTGTGAGTGAGAGAGATTACATTTATTTCTCAGCTGAATACAAATGCCAACTGTTTGTCTATATGTAAATCATATACCATATCAATATATACCAAAGCTAGTCTCCTGTCTCTCCAGATAATCTGTGTTGATTTTAGCTTGAAACAGGATGGTGGACTGTAAGATACTGGGTAAAGGTGGTGGCTGCATTCTTTCTATGGCCTTATAGTGACTGGTCACAGGACATGGGTCAGGTGCAAGATGGCTTCTGACCTGATCAGAATCAGAATCAGCATCAGCAGATTCAGCAGCACCCTATCTGTGAAGGATGCACGTGTGGCATATTGACCTTATGGGATTTATTTTGTCCCACATGTAATGTGTAACAGTATGCTGGGTTGTCTAGAATTATGCAAAACTGCGATGAACAGTACTTGTGATAAGTATCTCAATTCTGAATGAGATCCACACAGGCCATTGGCCTTCCTGCTAGTATCCACACTAAACCGGGAAAGTTTATTCAGATTTTTATGGAGCCATAGTGTGTATTCTCTGCAATATCACATCTCACATTTGCACATAGGTCATGTGCTGAAAGGTTATAGAATAAAATTTGACAATAAAAAGGAGATGAAAGTGGCCTTGGCTTTTTACTGTGACCACGCAGTCCACTGCAGTTTAGAAAGTCAATCAGCCAGTCCCTGGCATCAACAAAGCTGAGAAACGCAAATATAGAGCATGTCTTGCTTAGATCAGAAGATCATAGTGTAGTGGAAGCTATCATGGCCGATGGGGTCAGCACTGGTATCAGTGAGAGAAACCAAGGACGGCCCACCAGCAGTATGTGGGTTTTCAATTCAATTCAATTTATTTGAATTGAAAAAAGCCAGAAGACAACAGAGGAGAGGAACCAAAAACTCCCCTGTAAGGAGAAAAAAAACTCCTTGCTAACATTAAACAATTCTAAAAAAAGTACTAAATGTGGAGTCTTAAGTCTTTCATCATGTTCTTCTGTGTGCCAATACTCCATCCAGATCTCTGAAGACCACCACATCCTCCTAAACGATAGCTATATTCGCGATGTCTGTCTTGGATCCATGGCAGTGACAAAGCATCCAACTAAGATGGCGTCCAGCTTGGGCACCACCTGGACATGTAGGGAGGAGAATAGGATAGTTTGGTCAGAACAGACCTGGAAGGCCAACACTGAGACACACAATGGCATGTACAGCAGCACCAGCAACCAAAGTTGCAACGAGCTATGATGTAAGGCGTGAGTAGGCTAGGCTGAAGTCATAGGTTTTCAGTCTGGATTTAAATCCTGAGATTGACTCTGCATCCTGTACGTAGGCTGGCAGACTGTTCCATAAACTAGAGGCCCTGTAGCTAAAGGCTTTACCGCCAGCTGTTTTTTTATTAATATGTGGACTAAGAAGAATACCTGTGTTCTTTGATCTAAGTGGGTGACTTGGATTGTATACATTAATCAGCTCCATTAAATAGACAGGTGCCTGACCTCTGAAAGCCTTATACAGTAAAAGAATTTCGAAGTCTGCCCTGTACCTAACAGGAAGCCAATGGTGAGAGCTAAGTATGGGTGTTATGTGGCTGTAGTTTTTACTACTGGTAACAATTCTAGCTGCTGCGTTTTGAATTCACTGTAAGGTGTTGAAAGTGTGATAGGTATTCCCTGATAGTAGGGCATTACAGTAATCTAATCTGCTGTATAAAAAGCATGTATTAGTTTCTCTGTGTCTTGAGTGGAGAGAAAATACCTTAGTTTTGCAATGTTTAACTGTAGGAAGCACCCTTTTGATACTGCATGAACATGAGAGTTAAATGAGAACATTGTGTCTCAGATGACTCCTAAGTTACATGCCGAATCTTTGGGGCAAAATTTTAAACCCTCAGAGTTGAGTGCTGGGGGTATAGCAGTCCAATCTGCACTGTTGCCTCCAAACAACAGAACCTCATTTTTATCAGTTTTCACACATCCAAGACTTTATTTAATTAATGCAATTAACTAAAGTGATAATAGAAGAGTTGTTGTTTGGTGTAAACAAAATATATATTTGAGTGTCATCAGCATATGAATGAAAGTGAATATTATGTTTTCATATTATCCTACCTAGCAGCATGTAGAGAGAGAACAATACTGGTCTGAGCACTGATCCTGGTGGTACCCCAAATTTGACCGGTGACAGTGACAAAGCAGTACAAATATTAGATATTTGAACATAGTGAAAATGGTTAGTTAAATAGGAGGTAAACCACTTAAGGACAGTTCCACATAGGCCAACCTCAGACTCAAGCCTGTGTAACAAAATACAGTGGTCAACTGTGTCAAAGGCAGCACTAAGATCTAGAAACGCACTGTTGCATTCAATATAATTTACCACTCCTGTTATTATAGTTAAAGTGCTGTGGCATGGGCAGAAACCAGATTGGAATTTGTCAAGTATATTATTTGAATCCAGATAAGACTGAAGTTGGGCTACAACTATTCTCTCAAGAATTTTAGATAAAAATGGAACATTTGAGATGGATCTGTAGTTGTTAATAACTTGTGGATCCAAATTTGGTTTCTTTAGCAGCGGTCTAACAACGGCTAGCTTAAATTGGTCAGGAACAACGCATGATGCAAAGCATGTTTTCATCATACTAATAATAGGTCCTGCCAGTACTTCAAGGGATTATTTAACTACAGTAGTTGAGTGGGTTTTCGATCTAGCGGACAGGTGGTTGATTTTGTCTTAATAATTCATTTCTTTAGCTCATGTTCATTAACTAATTGAAAAGCATTGAAAAGGTGCACACGTTGTTTTTGTACTAGACTCCTTTGCGGCCTGTTTGATTGTGTTTGAAGTCTAATGTTGTTAATTTTTTTGTCAAAGAAGTTATAAACTGCATCTAAACTACATCTAAGGGAGACTTTGAATGACAAAAACAACTGAAGAACTTGGAAGCCATAACAAAGAAGGCATGAAGAGAAAACACATGCATCCATCCATAACTACCCTGTTATCTTTTCAAATCCCCCATGCCAATGAAGGATCTCAGGCATAAAACAGCAGGGCTGATGTAGCTCCTGCTGAATGAGCTGCAGGCTCATAGATATCCACAAGCTAAAGGCTCACTAGTCTGGAGAAGCCCAGAGGCAGTCAGACAATGAAATGCCCCAGGCCCAAGCTAGAAATATGACTGAAATATATGAAATATATTGGAGTGACTGTCCAACCTGCACTTGAGGAGGGAGCCTTTTACTGACCAAGCTACTCACACTGTCCTAGATGAGATGCTAGGAAATCCGAAGACACTTTACAGTATTTCTGTGCATTTCAGGATCAGAACTGGCAGTTCTGGATGAATGTTAGTGTCTTAAAGAAAGTTAAAAGCATATGGCATAATTTCTCTTTTTGTGCATTTATAGATAAGTAATTTTGTTTATCATCAACATCAATAATTTCAATCGCACCATACAAAACACCTGTATATATTTATTAAAATATGATTCAAAAGCATTGTTATAGCTGGCAACGTAAGTAAAAAAAGATCACATTTTGGCCTATAAATATTTTCATGAAAATACACCTTATTCAGTTTATTTTACAGATTTTCTGCTAAATTGATATATATATATATGATTATGAAATTACACTATAACACATTCTGCACCATGGTTCACTAGATACTGCATAAAACATCATGACAAGTATCTTTGGAAAACTACTGTATTATTACCTTAGCAAAATCTTATATAGCTTAGTTTATTTTGAAATATATGTATTTATTCTAGTATTACTCTTCTTTCACTATACTTGTTATTTTAATAGTTTCTCCAATTATAAAAAATCTACTTCACTTCTTCTAACAGGAAATACATTTGTACTAAAAATGGCAAAACTCTTTGTAAAAAGAAAATATGGCTAATTCTTGTTTACCTTGTCAATGTTGCTATATTAAAAGAAAGAGGAAATAGTTCTCTGTAGCAAGTCGCTCTATAAACTGACAGGGAATTGCAAGAGCAAAACACAAAGATATTGAAAGATTAAATATCCATTTATCTAGAGAGAAAGCAAAAGAGAAGTACAGAGAGACTAGACATAAGAGTGAATAGATGGCAAACTCTTCCATGGCCTGTGCAGTCACAAGATATGAACCCACTGAGAATATATCCTGTAAAATGTTAACTTCCTTTATGAAATTCATTTTAATGCAAATTTTACTGTAATACTACAAAAGTATTAGATATGCTGGACTGAAAAGATTATCTACAGATATTCTAAGTGGAATACTTCCTAGCACAAAAGCCTTCATTCATTTTGTGGTTTCATTCTTAACTTGAACATTTATTTATGTCTTGTCTCTGTATTTATTGAATATGTATGGAAAACATATTGTTCAAAAAGGCATTTGATACATTTATTTCAAGATGTAAATACATCATAAACAAAATTAACTAAAAAACACACTTTTCAGCTGTTGTGCTCATTTTATAATATCTTTGAAAAGCCATGTACTGAATGTAAAATGCTGAATAATTTTACACTTAAGAAGCCTGAGTTCATATTTGGCTCAGATAGAGCTGTCACATATACCTGTCTCTGAGGTGAGAGTGTGTGTAATATTAAATTCATTTTAAGTCCTATTTCCAGGCCAGGGTAAAGGCTATATATACTGATGAAAAAAAGAAACACAACATTTTCTGTAATGAGAATACCATAGTTATAGCTTATGTACTTTCACAAAAAGTTTTCAATTTGTTTAAAGCCCTCTGACCAGCAATACAGCTTGTGCAGTGAGGCATTGCAACTTCCCAATCACACAAAAGCTCGTTAGGTGCACTTTTACCCAGCAAGGTCCAGGCGGAACAATGCCTGATCAGGTCACCTTTAAAAAGGCCTTAATTCAAAGTTTAGGTCACTGCAAAAAAAAGGCCACACATTCCATAATGCCTCGAATGTCACCAGAAGCAAGGGAGAGGGTCATCGGCATTCTGGAGTCAGGCATGTCACGTGCCAGAGTTGCCAGACACTCTGGAGTACTGTAAGTGTCCTGACTGCAGAGAAGGTTTTAGCAGACCGGCAGCACAGATGACCGGCCAAGATCCGGTCACCCTTGAGTGACCACACCAGAGCAGGAGCGACACATCAGACTGGTCCATCTGAGAGATCATTTCAGATCTGCCACCTGTACTGCTGCTGAAACTGCCGGCAGACACAATGCCCGCATCAGTGACACGACAGTGAGGCTCCATGTCTCTGGCCTTAGAGCAAGGCGACCTGTCAGAGGCCCTCTGCTCACACCTCCTAGACGTCACACCTGACTGGCTTGGTCCAGACAGAGGCTGGGATGGACTCGTCAGCAGTGGCACCAGGTCCTCTTTAAAGATGAGTCACTCTTCAGCCTGTTCCAAGCAGATGGGAGGGCCAGAGTGTGGAAGAGGAGGTGTTGCATTTCTTTTTTCCATCAGTATATATGTATAATATATCATTACATTTTAGTAGAGGTTTTAGGATTTTTTTTTGAATGATGTCCTAAAATTAACTTTTTATTTCTTATATTTAGCATAAAACATACCTTTCATTTTAGATATATGTATGTGTGTAGACCCAAGGAAAACACTCCTGTAGCTAAAAGCCAAAATAATATAAAAAGCAATGCTGAACCATAATTCATGAATGAAATTTTCAAATCGGACACCTAAGTGAGATGGCACAAGTATCTCCTAATCTGTGTATTATTCGAAGGTTGCTGAAGGTAGTCTCGATGTAGCTGGTCTTCAGGGCTCTGCCTTGTTCTTGGAGTGGTCGCCGTGAGTCATGTTCTCCTCATGCTCTTCCTCTTCTTCAGGTACCTGTGCAAGAGAGACCTTCACAATCACCCCCACTGCTGTTGGATATTGCAGGCTTTAATGACAGGAGAGACTGAGCAGTCTCAGTGCCAGTGTGGGCCCAAAGAGGCTGGCGGTGTTGACCTGCAGAGTACAGGGCTCAGTGCAGTGAACATGTCACAGAAGTGAAACCACCAACCTTGAAACCTACACGGTGTAGAATTCTACAATGGTGGCGGATTCAGTCCTTTGGCATGGCAGAATTGGCCCATGTCTCTGGCCATGACGCTGTGTGTGTGCGCTCAGAAACTGCGAGCTACCATGAATGAATCCCAACAGGGGCAGATCATAGTTACAGGAAAACATGAGGCATGCACAGACATCGAAGAGGTGACAGTTCGGGTGATAGATTAGGGGGGCAGTTACTATTTATTTGCTGTACGTATACACCTTTACACACACATACATGCAGGGGGTGGATAAAATAATAGAAAAACTTAATGAAACTAGTTAAAGGACTCGTATTTTGAAGTAACTAAATTACAAGTGAGAAGGATTGAACACATGTGTTTCAAATTCATATTCATGTTTCCACCATGAAAGATGTCTTACAATCGATGTGGGTTTCTACAGCAACATGAGGGACCTAACAGATTTTGAAAGAGGTGAAATAGTTCGTATCCAATTTGAAGGTGAGTTAGATCTAAACATCACTGAGCCTTTATGGAAAGTTCTCAAATGCAGAATGTGGAGAAGACTTCCACCTCATTCATCTCTCAAAGAACTGGAGGCTCTCCTTCGTGAAGAATGGTCCAATATCCCACTGTATTGAAAGAGTTCAAAACTTGTATAATAGTATTCCAAGAAGGTGTGCAGCTGTCCAGCTGTCATGAAGATAAAGGGCAGCCCAAGGCCTTTTAGTTAATAATATTCATATATTACTCAGTGCTCCCATTATTTTGTCCACCCCCTGGAGATGTGAAGTGATAAACCTGTTGTTATGGTACAGTACATTTATTTTCACCAAGAACTTCTGGATAAATCCTCAAGTTAATCAGCTCTCACCCTCATGCAGTTTTACTGTAATCTTCATTCTGGCTTTAACCTTAGTAAAAGTGGAAATGTCTTGTCAAAACTAGATTGACCTGGACACAGCCAGATTCACTAGATTACTGGCATTTGGTCTTGATGTGCATATACAGTACATCCATACTCAAGAATATTATAGTGCATCTTTAATATATGCCAGGTATTGAAGTAGTTTTTAAAATACGACTGTATATTACCAAATAATGGATTCCATTTTAGAGATGTTTGTGATGTCTACAATTTTAAAAATGAATCTTCTGGTTTAAGAAATGATAAATGTTTAATTTGTATTTCTAATTACCTATCATTTTTTATCTAGATTTCTTTATTAAATATTATTACTAGTTTATTTACTGTATATATAAGTTTTTGTCTCATTTGTAATATATTAAAATAATTAAAAGGTCAGTCACCGTGCCTTGGAATTACAAGAAATAATTCATTATATTAACAAGCACATTAGTGGTAAATTAGCTATATAATAAAAGTGCATTATTTGTTTAATCTAATTCTTTTTATGACAAGTCACTCTGCAAACCTGAAGAAGTAAAAACATTTTTCAAATTATTAGAAAAACAAAGATGTTAAGATTCACATTTAATTCACTTTAAATCAATGAGGGAAATAAGTCATGAACCCTTGTTTCTGGGAATATAACACACCAGATTACACACGTTACTGTGAAATAAAACATAGTCTTTAACTTGATTTGCCGTTAAGATACGGACTCAGATGCTGCTACTTTCTTAGCAACATTATGTCTAATTGATTTTGACATACTTTAAAATATCACTTTACACAGCCTAAAGCCTGGATTAAACCTTGGCCCACCAATCATAAGCACAGTGCTGATCTGACAGAGGCAAAAATCCTCTGGAAAACAAAAAGCCTGTATCCAGTACCTGTCTTATGTGCTATTGCTGTTTGGATGGAAATTCTGTTCTACTCAGGGCTTCAACCGACACAAATAACTGTACTGAATTTATTGTGCTTTTGCTCTATGCTTCCAATTAAAATGGTTATCAGGTTGGCAATTTTTTATATTACATACCTCCCAATAAACAGCATCATCAAAGCAGTTTTGATCTGGCGGTTGTCCTAAAAAGGGCAGCTTCATAATAAGACCTGTCAACATGTAAGGAAATGATTTAATATGGTGCTAATATATAATTGTTATAGCCATTCTCTCAATTCAGTGCTGTTGGAACCCATTTTTGGATATAGAATTATCTTGTGCAACCATGGCATATAATTATTATGCATGTTTGTTTTCGATTAACATTTCAAATTGCTACTGTATTTGTCTTACAAATATTTTTTTCTGGTTTTATTATGGGGCTGTTACTGAACACTTACAGTATTTGGGGTAATACAGCTCAAGTGTTCAGACCCACCCCACGCCCTCCTCCATAAGCCTTCTTTCATAAGTTGGGGTTGTAAATTTAATTTTGTCAACCGCTCATGTTGAGGAGTGAGAGATTGTGCCCACTTCATACTTTAAACCCAGCACATTAACCCAGTGTCCTGTACAGTTAATCTCAGAACAATGCTACACAGTAATGCAACCAAATGGATAAAGGATCTAGGCCTGTGGCAGCCCCTGTGTGCAGTTCTATATGGTTTCACTGGTGCTGGTGATGCAGTATGGAATAGATGTCAGACAAACCTGTCACAGCTCCTCCCACAATGGCGATGCCCACAGATGATGCCAAGGCTGCCACTTGCATGACAACATTTCCACTGAGAGACAAGAAATTGGAAAAAAAATTAGAATGCAATATCCAAAAACAGTAAAAACGTTCAATGGTCTTGCAATATCCTGTGTGTGCTGGAGAAAGTCTTAAATGTCCAAAAAGTATCTAAGATACCTGTAGAATGTTACGATGAATGAAAATAATTGTCTTCCTGTAGCTCTATAAAATAACTACACCCTAATCATTTAGCAACAGGTTTATTCTCATTTCATTTCTAACTTTCGATCATTTCTAACTCTAATTTAGGGCTTACTGTTTCAGCTCCACCTACCTAGAAGAGGAAGGGCAAAGAAGCCACCATTTCAATACTTTCTGTGGTGGTGCTGGCACTGCATCGACACCCTCTTCACTTGCAGCTCTAACATGAGCTTTAGGAATTCGATTCTCAATTCGATTCTCAAGGTTTGCTGGGGTGTGCGTTTGCTTACGGACAGAATTAACCTGAAAGTCAACATTATGCCAGGAAAGCAGGAAGAAATTTGATTCTTGTTTCATCGGAGAATAGGATCCGACTGAAGGAGGACTACAGGATAGACTATCTAGGCTCAGGCTGAATGTATCAGGGAGCAAGGCAGTGCACTGTTGACCAGAGCTGACAAGCGTGTATTACTCTTTCACACAGATTCATCAGAACAGCACTGCAGCTTGCCCCACTAACCCTGGGAAGTTTGGAAAGTGTGTTAGAAGATGCACTCTTTGGATGAACAGCCTTGAAAAAGGTTCTGTATTACAATTTACATTTCATGGACAGTCATGGCAAGCCATGCTTAGTCCCAATTTCTTCTTTTTTAAATAAATAAATAGTAAGAAGTGTTGCAATTCTTATAATACAGTACATATCATTCTTATATTATACATAGAAATGAGCAATATTTAGATAATTTTGTGCTCAGAAGCAAATAAAAAAAAGAAACTGAGTTGCCTCTTTACACAAAAAGTGATGGCTGTATGGAACCAGGTGACACACCATTCAAGAAAAGGCTGGATGAAAAATAAATATTCTACTAACAAGTTAAATGAGTATGACAGGCTCAATGGCCTCCTTGTAACTATCTTATGTTCTTAAACTGAAGGTCCCACTTGTACATTTTCTGGCATTGGATTTTTCTAAGACTTCAACAACTGTGGCAGAACTAGACATTAGTTTGTGATGTCATACCACTTTAGATGTGTATTCTCTGAAAATACTCCATCTCAACAGTTCACAAGCTATCTAACCCATTTAATTCAACATGCCATGTGTACCGTAATATTACCGTGAATACTAAGAATAACAACACCCAAGGATTATGCATACAGAAAGCTTCATTGTGTGGTTTAGTCACAATAAATTTGGTTTAACCTGGTTGGCTGTGGTCTAACCTCCAGGCCAGAGGACGAGGAGGCTGGGAGAGCCATGTGGAGTGAGGAGTGTCCAAGGGGCAACTGCAGAGCTGGAGATGGGGTGAGGGTGGGATACTAAAAGATGTATGTGAGGTAGAGAAGGGTGTTTTAGGAGAGGGAATGGCATCAGGAGGGATTGCTAACCACTGACAGCCGAGTTGGATACCTTTGTCATCTTCCCTCCCAAATTTCTGATACAAACTCCATTAAAAAGAGAAGTTTTACTCCTAGTCTTCATGACCTGTGAATTGAACCTCAGCATCTGTACACTTGAGAATGAACTATACATTAAAATAAAGAATCTCACCTTTTTGCTCCCAGTGCCACAGCTATGATACCAGCAATCCCTCCTAGGATTCCAGGCATACCATGGAGGTTATGAACACCACAGGTGTCTTGGATACCCAGTTTTGATGAAAAGACAGGCTAAAAAATAAGAATGATACCTTTTTCAGAAAACCATTTAATCATATACTGAATTTTTATTTATGATGAGACATACAATAAGAAATTTCAAAAGCTAAGACCCACAGAGAACTTATATACTGTAAGTGATGAAAATTTTGGTTCATCTTATAGATATCTGGCTCTGGGCTGGGGTCATTGACCTGGTTTCCTGAACCGGCTTGGGAGAATTCTGAACAAACACTTGCTGTTGTACTGTATGAGACACCACAGAAAAAGCCGAATGGCAGACAACATCATCAAGAATAGCCACTGGAGTAGAATGCAGACTCTTAAATCCCCCATTCATGGAAACAACATGGCTGGTCTCAAACTATAAAAACCATTGCAATTCGAGACACGGTGGGAAATACACCTCGTGTGTATCTCCTTCAGTGTTTTCTGGAAGTGGTCGTTTTCATTACAGTTAAACTCATCTCAGACCTTCACTGGACTGCACTGTGACTCCTTGCATCCAATCTAATGAACTTTGAATCCATCCATCAGTGAAAGACACTTTTCCAGCTGTGGGTTACAACAAGCCGGGGCCAATTCCAGAAACACAGGGTGCACGGTGGGGCTGAGAGAGCTTGTCACCCCTCTTGGAGGGGATGCCAGTCCATTCCAGGGATACAGGAAGGCTGTAGTTTGAGAAGCCAATCAAACCTGACCAGTATGTCTTTGGGTGTTGTTGGGAATAGGGAAAACCCACAACATACTGTAGATACGAAAGCAGAAAATCTGCTCTGCAAAACTGTATATTATGTCAGGGCGGCTTTGCAAATAACCATGGGGTGTGTCTGCGTGCTGTGTTCAGCTGTGTGGTTCATGTTGACTGAATAGGATGGGGAAAATATTGATTAAATTAAGAAACAAATAGCCTGTCTTAAATCATAACTTCGTTTCTTCTTTCATTTAAGAATTACAAGATCAGTTTTCCTTTTATTCAGTGGAGACCTGCCACCAAGCTTCAATTCATCACATTGCTTTACTTTAAATTCTGAAACAGTAAAAACGTTCAATGGTCTTGCAATATCCTATGTGTGCTGGTTTTTTGTTCCATCTGAGCTTTTAATTACTAGTGGTAATTGGTACCTGTAATTGACCTACTTGTTGGTATAGACTTTTTTTCTGTATTTGGTTTTTGGTTTCTCAAACACTCTAGTTAAAGTGCATTATTTCCAACGTCTTCAGCACACAGAACACAGAACTGCTGTCTCTCCTCAGTGTGCTTATTATGAATTTGCTCCCTTATTTCTGAATAAACAGATCTTCATACAGTCTGTGATGAAAAGGTCATAAACACACACAGGCGGGAATGACACTGTATCACACACTCCCACAGTGAGTCAGTGTTTTTCCTTTTGATTAAGTCCAACTGGTTATATTTCAACCAACACACCTCAATAAGGGCAGTCCCGAAACTCGCAAATTAACGCAACATTCATACCAATGTCAAATTTCTTTCAGATTTTTTACAACCTTCAAAAAGAAGATTGAAATAAATTAGCACTGGCAATTACCAGCACCAAAAACCAGCAGACACAGGGGGACTCCAGGACCAGGACTGAGCACTGCTGCCCTGGGCCATTGCCTCACATGCTTCCTAGCTCCTATGAAAGGTTGCAGACAGGCCAGTGAGTCGCTTTACCATGCTTGCTTTGAGCACAAGTCAAGCTCTACATATTCAGAAATGGCCAGTCTGAGCCTGGTTCATGTCACTATCCATAAATGACCAGAATGGCTGTAATGCCCAGTATATAAGTGAAGAAATGTTGTTGTGTTGAGGGAAATAACAATGCAGCCCTGCTTACTGGCGGAGCAGGCTATAATGGATTAAGCCAGCTGGCACTTGCAGCAAGCAGTAACATAATGGCAGTGCCGCAGTGCCGCAGTGCCTTAGGCCTCAAAAAACATTTAAGAAAAGAAAAGAAACACCAATAAGCATGATTTCCTTAAACCAGGTCATGCTTAGGTTTAACAATATAAATACGTACTGTCAGAAACTTGAATCCCACAGTGGAGATGATTCCAGCCGTAAGCCCTATCAGCATGGCACCGTAAGGCCCAATGGCCATATCTGCACAAGTGCCGACTGCAACCCCACCTGCCAGTGTAGCATTCTGGATGTGCACCTGTAAAAAAACGGACAGGACAGGACGAGAAGCACTGGTTAGTTTTCAGGTGTTTACTTTGTTGAATTCAAGAAAAAAAACAGTTGCGACATGCCAGTTCAGCAATGCCAAACCTTTCCTACAATGGGGCAGATATAGTCATAATAAGAATGATAATAATGTTATACAGTATTTTATGATGCAGTCATAAAGAAGTCATCTCACACTCAGTACAACACCAGAAAAAAGTAAACACAGAAGACACAGTAAAACAACCACAAAAAAAGCCTTCCAGAAAAAAGTAACTTTTGAGGATAGACTTAAAAATATCCATGTGGATGAGTCATTGACTTCTTTTGGGATTATTTTCCAGAGCTATGAAGCACCACAACAAAAGGTCCTGTTACCCAAAGACTGTAGATATGTCACCCCTAAATACTTCATTTTGGATCAAAACTCATGCACTGTGCTATCAGCTGTTATTGTTGCAGCATTCTTTTTATGTAGCTGATAGGAGGAAGGAAATAACATGACCTCAATAAGAGTGTTGAAATAAATGCCTTATTGTCAGGTTTAGTGTGGGCATGCTGTATATCTTCTGTAAATGTCTACATAGAAACAATAGTTTAGACAATGTCATTTTACTTTTTGACAAAGAGGGAACATGCCAAAAAGCACAGTCTACTATTGTGGAACACCAAAAGGCCACCAAGAAAATTAAAATACCAGTGCTGAGCGAGGTACTGTAATTGTAATTGTATTGTAATACTGTAATATGTAATTCATCTACAGTAAGTGGAGTACCTAGAGATGGCATATTGTACAAACTCAACTCATTAAGTTGAATGTCATGTTTTAAAGTATTGAATGCAGCACTGAGATCTACTGTAGGTGAGTTAAGATGGTAGAGCACCCAAATTAGCAGTCATGAGGAGATCATTAAGAACCTTAACAAGAGCTGTTTCAGTCCTGACTAAAGCCAAACTGAAAGGGTTTGAAAAGTTTATTCACTATGAGATAACCATTTTGTTGCCCAGCAACAGCATGTTCTAATATATTCACAAGTAAAAGCATGTTAGATATGGGCTGAAATGATAAATTATTCAGATAACCCAAACATATTTGTATTTTTACACAATGGGATGTCTTCAGTAGTTTTAAAAGCATCTTTATGGGAATGTTATGTTCCATCTCACACTGTCTATGTGCAAAGAATCAGCTTCACAACTCTGCCATTACATAATCGATCAAATTTCTTCAACAATAAAAGTTTCAATTAGATGAAAACCACAAACAAGTGAACCCTCACACTGAACAATTCCTTTACATACATTCCTGTAAACCCCAATTCAAGCAATCTGCAGTAATTTAAAAACTGCCTCCACCACACCAGAGCTCTAAGAGTCATTTATTATGTTAAGCACCAAAAGGGCAAAGTAATAGGACAGGAATTAAATGAATTAAAATGAATTAAAAGAAACCAATTTATCAATAATGTAACCACAATTGTGTGTGAGGTTGTAATAGTGATAATAAAGCACACCTGTATTGACAAAATTGAGTTTTTAATGAAAGTTTGGGAGGGGTGAGAGCATCCAAGTTCTCCTTCGCCTCTGCTACTCTAGCTTGTAACGCTTCCTCCCCGACGTCACTCCCCCAAACCCCCAAAGAGGACAGGCCCTCTGTCTTCTTGGCATTCGTCTTTCTTCCTGCAGCCCAACTCCACCTTTGCTGGCTCTCCTTGGTCACTCCTCATCCTACAGGAGGATTGTCCTGTGGTCAGGGCACTGACCCTCAACCAGGCGCGTTGAGCCAACTCTTTCTGGTCTCTCTGTTACTCAACACTCAGTAAACACTTTTCAATACACTTAATTCTGGGTTGTTGTCATTCCTGGTGAGCACACTACATTTAGCTACAACTAACAGACATGTATTGCTGATGTCCTCACCATGTCCAGTTTTCCTTTTTTTTCCACCAGGCTTGAGATGGCATATGCGGAGAGCACACAAGCTGCCAGGGACAGGTACGTGTTGACGACAGCTGTGTATTGCTCTTGAGGGGACTCGGCGATGGCAGAATTAAAACTTGGCCAGAACATCCACAGGAAAATTGTCCCTGAAATGGTATTATTACATGTGGTTAAATAAGAACAATTACAAAGGAGAAGAAGCCATCCAAGCCATTTAATCTGTTTGGAAGTTAGTAGCTAATGAATCTGATCTCATCCAGTTGTTTCTGGAAGGAAGCCGGTCTATCAGTTTCAATACCAAGGTTGGGTAGCTTGTTCAATTCTCCCACACCCCTTTGAGTAAAGAAGTGCCTTCTATGCTCAGATCTAAATATATTTCCGCCTAGTTTACAGTTGTGTGCTCTGTTTTGTCCAGGAAATATTTTGTGTATAATATATGTTGAAGATTAAGAAAGATAATTACATTTGTAATAATTCTGTTACTGTAAACGTGCAAACATGAAATGCAGCATGCATTGTAGTTTTGTAATATTGTTTAGATGCTTTAATAGCCAGTCAAATTTCATTTCTCTTTACAATAAATTTAGCTAAGAAAAAAAAATGTTGGAGTTTAGTAAAGACAAAACTACTGGGTAGAAAATACCATTACTTTTCACATCAATGCTATGCATTTTAAAAGTATTGAATTAAGATTATATTTACTCTTGTTATTCAAGTTTCTGCTCTTACTGCTGTATCTACAACTAATAGGTGTATATAATACTATAATAATAATTATAATAATCATAATTGAAGTGATTATACTGTAGGAAACAATGAACTTCACCTATAGAGTAGAACAGTTACACTTTCTGTCCAACAGATGGCATTAAATGCCAAAAGTGCCTTTCAGTAGACTGGAAAACAAAGGAATATATGTTTTCTTGAAGGTTTCTAACTTAGAAATTATTTTCTGTTTATTTCCTTCGGTTTAACATTGCTTTATAATACCAGAATTGTTTTTTTACTTTACATTTTCCCCTAAGTGAATAGCTAAATAAAAAAAATCTGTAACTGTGAGGTGAACTTCAGTCTTCAGGGTAATTTCATGTGATTTAGATACTGCTTTTGCACTTTTATTGCATTGTGAATGTGTAGATCAGGATCAGAACCCTTTTGGTGTTGATTCCTGGACAAAGCAATTGATCAACTCAAAGAAGCTGATCTGTATGAGCAAGATGAGGTCTAATTGTATTCTTTTTTAAAAAGCTGTTCTTTTCAAAATTCACTGAATAAAAAAGACAGCATGAAGCAGTGTTTATTTTTAATGCAATTATACATTGCATTTGCAAGTAGTTGTTCTTCTGTGTCTCTCCAACACAACATAAAAATTACATAGCACTACATTTCAACAAATGTCCTTGTTTAGCTGAATGAATTGTGCAGAGAAAAGAAATTTGATAGGCTACTGTACAAACAGTTGTATGCGTGCTAAAGTTAGATTTAAATTACAATTTATTACAAAACTATACAATGCTGAATTTAGTGTTTGCACATTTAATAGAAAGATTGTAAACATAATAATTTTTTTATTGTGACCATGTTCTATTCACTAACTCATTTTAATTTTCATCTTACCAATCATGGCGAAGAGGTCAGAGTGGTACACAGAACCATCATTTTCATGGCCATTGCTGAGACCAGGTCTGTAGAGCATGCGGGCTACAGCCAACCCAAAGTAAGCTCCAAAAGCATGGATTACCATTGAAGCACCAACATCACTTGCCTGGTTGGGGATGACAACAACAATAATTACTTCAATCTGTTCTTAACAGCATTTACAAAAAAACTAGAAAAGCTTGAATCCTTATCAAAGAGTGGTTTGTCAAATGGATTTTAAAACACATATTCTGGATGCTGGACCCTAATTTCATCCACTTTCACCTATCTGTGTATAAATATCAAGGAGTTCCAACAGGCAGATTGCTGTTTTCCATTTCTGTAGCCAATACATTTTGCTATTCAAATCGTGCCTTTTCTCTGTCACTATTAGATAAAACTTTTGAATTGGCTCTTGGAAGCTGGACCACAATAAGGGACCACATTGTTCAGGATGGCTGATATTAAGTGGATACCTTAAGAACCACCTACACAGAGTTCCAACCCTTCCTTTGGTACTGTGGAAGAAGGCACACCGGGTCACCCACCAGAACTGGTTTCTAAGAATAATGGTGCTGGACTTTTCCTTTGAGACACTGATTTTGATAACTGGGGTCCATGGGGTTCTTGTGCTGGTTTGTGAGTGTGTACCCCTTGTGGATAAGATGTGTTCTGTGTGTCATGTAGGCAGTTATAGAAAACATGGGTCGTGCAAGATGTGTAGACTGATAAATGTGTAGTCATTTATTATGTTATGGTAATATAATGTGTAAATACTGTATGTAGGATAATTGTCTTGTCTGGTCTGCGGATGCACTGGTGACTCTGGGAGATATAAAGAACTTGTTGCAGAGGAAAAAGGGTCCTAGCATCTTTAAAATTACTACTGTAGGTGGCATAATGGACTACAAAGTTAACTTTTAAAAGCACTCCCTGCATTTATGGGTCACCATTTGTGACAGAAATGTTTTCACAAAGCCGTACATTTTACTGTGTAACTAGAGCCAAAGAAAAAAACATTCCAAGAAAACAAATGCACTGCTAATTTTCAGAAAATAATAAATTATCTTCTTTTTTTATTATTATCTAATTTTTCAATTAACATTTCATAGACTATACAGATGCTTCAGATACAGTGCAGTACTCCAGGTATAAAGAGAAATTACTAAATATAGCATTTTCTTCAAGAATGGACCTTGATTTGTGTTTGCAATTCAGCAAGTAACATCCTGTAGAAAGGATAAAAAGAAAAGAAAGTATTTTCAAACACTAATTAAAAATACTAACCTGTAGTATTTCAACAACAAGATGTTCATTCATTGCAAATATGGTGATTTCCAAAATTGTCATTATCAGGAGCTGGACGGGACTTGTTTTTCCCAAGACAGCTCCAAATGAAATGAGAACAGTTGCTGTGCTGAAATCCGCATTGATCATACTGTGAGCAAAAAGAAGAGTTGAGTTCACTACTACTATCTCATTTTAAATATCAGATAACTCTAGTCTTTTGCCACTAGAAACATAAATTCCCACATAAATACTTTTCAAAGCTGTCACAAGTTGTCAAGTTTGATGAAGAAAATGGTGTTGTATTTGGTAATGGTCTGTTATTAATAGAGGGCAAGCATAAAACTATTGTCTAAACTGTAAGCAGCAATCAATGTATAACTGGGTTAATCAGCGACATATAGCTGGGTTAAACCATACTGTTTTACAATTTTGTGGTTGATTTTTTGGAGGATTGCCTATGGGCAATGGTACACAGTGGTGTAGAAAACAGCTTTGCTTGGATGTATGATTACCATCTGCGGGCGAGCAAGAAGTGTGTGCCACAGTAATTACCTATAAATGTTGACTTGGATTTTGCCATGGTGCATATGCCAAAGTCCTTGCATCAGCATGCCCCATTGAAGACCAAAGGCAGCCAGGAGCATGTTGAGGCCGACACTGCTGAAGCTGTATCTCTTCAAGAATGTCATCAGGAATCCGAAACCAATGAAGATCATCACGTGCACGTCTTGGAACACTGCGGGGAAATGAGACTTGACTTGTATGTCACAAGAGGATAGGAAAAAGAAAGCTGGTGGAGGTGGAGGACCTTCAGTCTTCCATTAGAAACAGTTAAAAACCAGGAAGCAGAGACTTCTGGCTGTCAGTTTGTATCTGGTACCTAGTGAAGGCTTCAGATCCTTAGGCGCTGCACAAAGGGGGAGGAACAGATCTGATGCCTTCATGCTAAGTAACACTAAATAAATGGCCAGGCTAGTCATAAAACATTTAAGTGCAACTGAAAACAGCCACATGAGTGTAACAAACATTTTAATCAAGTCATACTGATGAAAAACCCATTGACCTGCCCAGTGATTACATCAGATATTAGAAACAAGAGAACATAATTTGGCCTATCAAACCTGGATCAGTCAGCTACTGTACCAATTACCAAAGACCTCATTCAGCAGTTATCTGAAAGGACTAACAAATCCAACAACTGGACTGGCAGCATGTTCCATACTCCCCAGCCCTTTGTGTAAAATTCTGTTACGTGTGTCCATATCAAAAAAAGAATGAAATTCAATCCATTTTTTAAGTGACGAGAACAACCACAAAACAAATGAATTCCACCTACAAGGCCCATCCGCCCTGCAAGAAGAGTGGTGATTTAAAAAAACAAAGAAAATTATGTAAACAGGGAAAATCAGTTTATAATATTTTCAAATACACACATGTAATCAAAATACAAATCAATTACTAAGTAAATTACTGTTATCCACAGAGGAAATGAATATGTAAACAACCTTATAATTACAGATTCATGTCGATTAAAAGTGGGCGCCATATTTCCTTAAATTATTTATGTCCATTATATGCCCTTGGTGACTGGCATCCTGTCAAGGGTGTATCCTGATTTGCACCCATTGTCTGGTGGGTTAAGCCGATATTCATTGCACGTGTAGTATGGACGTCCTCTTATTGTGGGTTTCTCTAACGATGCAGTAGAGATATATATTTGCATATATTGTGTATTTCATCTAGCGTCTCTGATTATTTTTCTTTCTGATTATTTGCAATCGCCAGCTGTGTATTAGTTCTGTTTTGTAGCTACAGCTGTGGTACCTGCACAGGGGGATGAGGACTCTTGCCACCCTTAAACAAAATGAGTAGTGTCCCAGTCGTGTCACACCGTGTTTCACACGTCTCACAGTGCTCACAGCAGAGTTAGAACTGATTGAAGGAGGAGTGTAACAGTGCAGCCTCACAGGCCAGCTGAAAATACCAGGGGTGGTTGCTATATACTGCCTCATTGAGACCTATGCAGTTGGGGAGAGCTGCAGTTGGGGAATCTTGATTAATTAAAGTTAAATAATTTAGTAGTACAGACTTGAATCATTGATGCTTAACTATTGGGGGATTCATTTCCTAATCTCCTTATCTCCACCTTATGTAAATTGTTTTCTTCACAACTGTAAGATAGAAATAAAAAAATACAATTTTTTTTATTTAATGCAAAAGCGAGAAGTACAGTAACATAAAAGACTCTTTCAAAAATTTGTGTAGAACTGTCTATGGGGATTGTTGAAAACCAATGAGTTTTGCAATACATTTTACACCAAACAATCAGAATTGAATGGCACTTTTTATTAAGTCCCAAGACCTATAAGACTAGCTATCTCTCTAAATTCTGAAGACTGGGCCAGTCTAAGTTAGTTTGACTTTTAAGAAGTACCTTTTATTGAAACTATTCATAATCTAATTAAGATTAATTTGATTAAGATGTGCTTAGAATGTAAATGAAATAAACCTTTCAGTATCACTACCTACTGTAACTTGTTTGTGTCCTCTGACTCTTTTCTTCCACACATGATTTGAATTACCTTTATAAATAACTCTCAAAACAAACTACTCTCTCCATCATGATTTTTAAAGAGGAACTTTTTATGCTTGACTGTTTTATACAGGAGATCTTAATGTTCGGAGGAATGTGTTTCAGATTTTATTTATTTCACTTCACAAGTCTAAAAATCAAAACTGCAACCTGATCATTATACAGTACTTCTTTAATTCAAATGTATTAATATTAAGGCAGACTGAATAATAGAACCATAATTCCATCATAATATATAGTATCTTTATTCAGCCATTAACTAAAACATACTTATTCCTGCCATCTTGGAGACTATCCTGGATGTATAGGACACACGGCAGGACTATACCCTGGATAGATGCTAGTCCATTGAAGGACAAACATGCATGGGCAATATAAAGAAATCAAACCACCTAGCCAACATTTATCGTAAGGTAGGAGGAAGCTGGCAAAGACAGAGAAACCTCCCTGTGAAACCAATGTGAACATACAAGGACCACACAGAAGGTACCCTATTCCAGATTCAAACCCAATTGTAACAGCTGTGAGGTAGAAGTGCTAACTGCCAAGCCATCCTGCTGCACAGTATCATTAAGCTACACATACAATCACTTATTACAATAGAACCATTCAAGAGAGTCACCTGATTGAATTTCAGATTTTCAAAGGAAATGTGAAACAACATATTTCTAAATGCAGTGGTATGCTTTAGCATTTTTGGTATAAAGTAACTATAGTTCAGGTTTCCATCTTAAGAAAATGAAGATGACCTTTATACTGTAATTGTACATGGAGAAGCACAGCAGTCAACGCAAAACTTGAAATCATGTGTAATGAGCCACACTTCCTTTATTACAAACTAAACATTTAATTATCAGATACTTCTGATATTGTAGGTGCTCTTAGATAAATTAATTTGTTCTTATACAGTACTTCACAGAGCTGGAGATAGTCAAAATATTTATGCACCTTTCTTTTCAATGCTTTACAAATAAGTAATCCACATGGTTCTATTGTTACCACAGAACTGCTGCTCCATGCTCAGTATTTTTAATTTAATTTACTGTATGATCTGATTGATTACAGGATTAGTGTTGGGGATGGGGATGGGTTCCGAGTTGAGGGTAAAGTTAATAGGTATAAAGTCTTCAATGTTCACTTTAAGCTCCTAGAAGTTTTAATTTATATTGCAGACATGGCTGGGAATAAGAGAAGAAAAACTGACAGGTACTCAGGTCTTACAGTAAGAGACATGATATTATGGTTTACAGATCTATTATTTCTTGTGATATTTTCTCCCCTTTCATTAATTAAAAAAATAATACAAAGAGCGGTAGATAAGTTAAAACTGAACTTTAAACATAATGGTAAAGTGTTACAACTGCTATTCGATATGTTGGAAATTAAGTTTAAAATAAGCCTGGAGAGCTCACATGGAATGAATGGCAATGTGCTGTCCTTACCTGCCCCAGGATAGTGTGTATGCAGTCTGTGGTGTTAAGTCGTGTTAAAGTTTGTACTAGATGGAACAAATCAGTGTATGCGGCAGCATGGTGGCGGAGTGGTTAGTGTTGCTGTCTCACAGTGTTGGGACCCTTGGTTCAGTTCTAGACCTGGGGTGCTGTCTGTGTGGAGATTGTATCTTCTCCCCATGTGGTCATTTCCATTTTCCTTGATTTACCAGTACAAAGACATACTGGTAGGTTCATTAGCTCATGGAAAAATTGGCCCTGGTGTTAGCATGTGTCTGTGTATCTAACCTGAAAGGGACTTGCATCCCATCCAGGGTGTACCCCACCTTTAGCACGTTGCTTGCCAGGATAGACTCCGGCTCCTCCATGATCCTTGGTTTGGATGAAGCAGTTACAAAATGGATGGATGGAAATTGGTATATAAGAGAAGATGATTAATTGCTAATGCCTACATTTCCACAAAACCCTCCAAGTTGTGGGTCAAATATCTAGCCTCCTTTTGTTTGTAGACTTTCATATGTTTTAATGAAACAACTTTTGTGTTCTTGTTATAGGTCTCACAGCTGCTGCAGCTATTTTGTTTCATAAATGTATACAGCATATATTTAAAGGGAATAATCCTTTAAAATATGTTTGTGAATGAAATGTTACAAATGTAATCACTGTTCATAAATTCAGTTGACACAGTCACAGATATCCAAAACAAATACTGTAACTGCATTATTGCATTTTGTATTGAATTATAGAGTATTATTTCCTTTGAACAATACTGAAAGAAACTGTAGTTTTAATGCTAATGCCCAAGAACGGGTTTGAAATCATTCTAGATATATTTTTTCTAGTAACGAATGAGCATTTCCTGAGAATCTCAGGGAAATTGTGTAAAATAATAATTGAGAGTCTTCTAAAAAAAACTGGACTGAATTAATTGTCACACTCACTCAGTGGGCTGCATCTGTCCTTAAGGGTTGCAGTACAGCATTCAGGACAGGAAGTGTGTAGTTCACTGGATTGTTGCCTAATTACTGTCCTGACCTTTCCTGTTTCTGGAAATACCTTAAGTACTGCCAAAGAAAGCTGTTAAGATGATAACAGCTGGACAGTATAGGCAAATCTGGGACAGTGGAAAGACAACAGCTTAACCAGTAAATGAGGTGCAGAAACACAAACTTCTTATAAAACCATTAAAAATGTACTTGCTTCTTGAGGCAAACAATGACAATTACTATATTTTAATTAACATAACCTGTATTAGTTTTTAACAATGGTAACAAAAGACAATGACAGGAGGCAAATTTGTCTAGCCCATTTGGTAGTTAGTTGATCCAAGGGTCTAATCCAGACATTTCTTTAAAAAAAATCCAGGGTATCAGCTTCAACAATATTGCTGGTAAGCGTGTTCCATACTCCCACAATCTTTAAGCTATAGAATCCTCCTGTACTTGGTTTTCAATGCACTATCATTTATAATTTGGTCTTTGTTAATTTGGTTAACAAAAGGTAAGAGGAATAGAAGGTAGTTCTGTGTTTAGGTCAAACTTTTCTTTTTGTTCTCATTGAATGCTTGCATTATTATAAGGTTATAAAAATGCTCTCAAATGGGAAATGTAATGTACATCTCAGAGCCACAGGGAAAACCAATCTTTTTAGAAGGGAGTGCAGAGAGCAGAGCAGGTGCAATGCATCGACTTCCTAAATGAAGGCTAAGACTTTGTTTTTTAGAGTCTCTTAAATAAGTGGACAAGGGAATTGCACATTCACATCTGGCAAGACAACATAAGCAAATGGCAAATGCAAGAAAATTTGCATGCTATTCTGTACTGTTTTTTACAGTCTGGTGGTAGTAAGTGAGGCACGGAGAAAATTGCGTGTGCAATCATGGGAGCTGTGATTTTCTTTTTTTCACAGGCCTCTGGAATGTAACAGATGTAGACATTATCAACTCCATCATTAGAATGCAAGCTCAGATATACAGTATCAGGTTTGTTGGTTGCTCTGGAGGGGCTGAATGAAGGAGATCCAAAGATGAAAAGCGCACATGTACTCTGACATCTGAACCGTTCAAAAGGCTTCTTCATTATGTGCTTTACCATATAGTTTTTGCATAAAGCTAAGTAAAAAATAAATAATTCAAACTAAAAATTGAATCCATACTTTATGTGCTACCACACACAAAAGCATTTTTTAAATATCTGGATTCTTACTGTATAAAACAGGGGTCCATCCCTGGTCATAGAGGATCCCTGTTGAGTATGTTTATACTTGTTATAATATATGTTTATTATCTGTTTATAAACACAGAGAAGTCGTAGATCAATTAAGAAATATGCTAAATTGAAGAGAATCACAGGTGCAAGAGCCATCTTACTCACTAGAGAGGGCTTGTTTCCAAGTCAAAATGGCATCATGCAGGAAAGTGTTTTGGAACAAAGAGTGATAGTTATTCCTCAGGAATGAGGGATCAGGGGTGAATATCTGTGAGACAAGTGTATTGCCCATTCTGATAAGTGAATAAAGAGTTTCAAAGAGGAATAAAAGATAAATCAATCTGGGTTGTCTTTGGTTCCACGTCCTAATCATATGAATGCCTTGCTGTTGAGTCTTGAGAGAGCTTCTGTGCATGAGGTTCACCCTATTCCTGCCTGGTCTACAGTGCTACAGAATGGCTTCACACATTGACTCTGTCTGTCTCAGGGTTTCAGAACTTAAAGCTGAGTGTGATTTTACAGCAGCAGTTACATCCTATGAATGTGACAGAGGGAAGGATGTATTAGAGCTTATTTGGAATAATTCGCCTAGCTGGCAGAATTGCAGCCTGACTGTAAGGGTGAGGCTGATCGAACTTCTCCTCATGTGTGTGAGGAATGAGCCAGGGAGCTGCTGCAGGGGTGTGCTTGGAGTGGCAGGAGGGATGCAAGAGAAATGTGCTAAGGGCAGCCTAGAAGGTAAGATATACATATATACAGGATGTAGGGGAACAGAAGTAGGAAAGATTAGGATCTGACTTTCCTCCTGAACTTCTGTTATAAACTCTTTTAATGAACTAACCAATCCATGAAACGCAACAAGCTGCTACGTGTCCTTTAAGATGAATCCAAAAAAACAGAGGTTGGGAATAAGCAGGGAAATGAAACTGTACAGCAAGATATGACAGCAGAAGCTGAGTTTAAAAATCTGACTGTCTGTTAGATTTTTTTATCAATTACAAATGAGATTACACATTTCTAAAGGTGATGACTTGTCAGCGTATGTTCCAATATATGCTCATATGTATCACAAATACACCTCTAAGTGACTTTAAATTGTAGTTGATGTGATTGAAATGCATTTCGTGCCTGAGCCATTGTTTTTCTTGATTGCTGAAAGGATTGTTTGCTGGCTAATTTCCTAATGGGGCACTAGAGATTATTTACATAGCTGGGTCCCATTAACTTCAAAAGAAACAAAATCCATTCAAAGCATTTGTCCTACAGGGACATCACTTTTTTAATAGTGGTACTATTTTTGCCATATCAATCCACTGGACTTTTGAGCTGTACATAGATGTTCAATATCTGGTGTTACTAAAGATGACCTTTTGTAGATCCATGTTGCTCTTGATATAAATGATACAAGCAATATTTCAATCAAATTAGTATGACTTCTTTGAGGAAGGGAGTATTTTAGATAATTGTATCAGAAATGAAATGTCTCATCAAGTTTTAGAACATACACAGAGAATTAGCTTCAGATCTCAGATTCAGTAACACAGGACCAGAGACTTAGCCATGCTCTGAGTATATAACTACTTAAGTACAATTGAAATGCATTGAAATCTTTACCTATTGAAAAACTATGTATTACGCCAATTGCAATCTGTCACTATGCCTGGTTATACAGTTAGTATGACCTTGTTGTTAGCAGGTCATCACGATTTAAAAGCTGAGAATAAAGCTGAGAATACAGAATACAATTTTGGGAGTCACTTACACTACATAATCTCCTTACAAAAATTAAATACTTGTGTGTGGGATCTTGGTGCTCAGTCTAATCTGAAAGTATTCCCTCAACACCAAAAAAATATGATTCCTATATTCCTGAATCAAATATTAAGCAATAAAACAACAACAACTTTATCCTTCCATTCTGAGGTGCTAACTGTGTGCCTATATGTTCACTCTGTGTTCGTGTGAGTTTCCTCGAGGTGCTCTGGTTTCCTCCCACAATCCAATGACATACTGGTAAGTTAATTTGCTTCTGTAAAATTGTCCCTGGTGTGAGTGTGTCTGTGTGTTCGTCAGTGTGTCCCATGCCATGGACTGGCTTCCAATCCAGAGTGCATTATGCCTTGTACCTTCTTCTTTCTGGGATAGTCACCCATTCACCATGACCCTGAATTGAAGAACAAGTTGAAAGTAATGTACTGTATACTATTATTTTTATTTATTTGGACAAATGTTCTTATGGCACATATTTTTATACCTGGCGACACAGCACCGAGTGAACTGAAACATGAGGTACTGTACTCTTTTCTTGCATGTTAGTAAAAGGGCTGTCCTAAACTGTTTGCAGACATGCTCAGCTGCACATAGAGACTTAAACGCTTCTAGTAATCTTTGCTGTTCATGCGGACCCCACCCATCTGATATGTATTTTTACATGCTAGCATTTTTACTGACTCACTGCAAAAAATGTTTCTCAAATAAATATTAAACTGAAGTTATTTTATTGGGAAAACATAACTTATTTTATTCTAATATCATTACAATAAAATCAATATATCTGCCACAACACAAAACAGAATAATTTGTTTTGTGACTGAAAACACTTTAAACTTTTGCAGTACATTAAACAGAAATACAGTAAATTTAATAATTGAATAAAATAGATTTATCTATGCAATATGTATCATGTTTACCATGCCAAATATGAAGCAATGCTCTGTGTGGTAATTGCACAAGTAAGGCTCATTTGGTTACATGCATTAGATTTGAATAATTAAACTGAGGTAAAAACAGGCAGCAAAATTTTGAGAAATTCCTGTGAAATTATTAAATTGGCACTACTGTTTAAAGTGACTGTTCACATAAACCTAAAACACATCAGAAAAGGAAATTCTGAGCCATTCAATGTCTCATTTTGTAAAAATGTACAGCACATTTTGAGTCTCACCATAAACAGATAAAGTATAAAGTAATACAATCACAAAAAATAGATTATTATAAAATCAAAGCTGAAAAAAATTGTCTTCTTTAAAAGTAATTGAAGAAATAACATCTCATATACTGTAAAACGTAAATAGAACATACAATTAAAATATTCATTTTATTGGTGTAATTTCCATCATAAATGGAAAATATTGGCAAATAATGGCAGATAAAAATAATGAAATTGATAAAATAATGGCAAATATTTTTCAAATCAGGAATTAAATTAAATAGTAGAGGACACATAAACATTTTTTAGAACTGAATGGCAAATCATAAAGGTACAGTACAGTATATACATTGATGTGACATTTCAAATAATAAGTATATAATGATAACTGAAAACACTGTATAATTACATATTGTACAGTATGCAGCGAACCTTAGAAACTTCTGAAGCAACAGGTCACAAAAGTACTCACCAGGGTACAAAGCACTGAAGTCGGGTTCTTCATTTGAATGACTGCTATTTTGTGGGCCATGATGAGCATCAATTTTATCATAGGTCACAAATACTCCAAATAAAATAATTGTAAGAATCTCCAAAGATATGGCCAAGACTGGAAACTTTAGCCTCATGTTGGTAGAGTACAACGAAGGCATGGTGGAGCTCCTTGATATGTATGAATGTGATAAGAGAAAGGGACTGATGCCTGTTTTTAAATTGCCTGCAGATTCACTGAAAACCAATGACAAGGCAGAAAACATTAGGCTCACAGTGCACACCCACTCTGAGGGGCTGGGACTACAACATCATTTATTGAGTTTATTGAAAATTACATTTTATTTTACTTAAACAAATGAACACTCTGTACTTGAAATATGAATATCATGTTGAAATAAAGCTTTTACATTTCAAGGATTTATTTATACATTATTTTGTTTTGTTTTTTACAAAATACTAAATAGCTGCAAATGAAAGCATTTCCTCTTTCTTCATTAAACATATACCTGTAATTTCAATTCCTTGATCTGTGGAGATTATAGAACTCGTTCATATACAGTACATACTGTAGCTCCTCAAAGTATGGTATTCTGTATTAATAACATTGCAAAAAGGCATTGTTGTTAGAGAAAGAATTAAAAAAGAGAGACCAGTACAATTCCTGATCTCAAACGTTTCCTACATTTTTCAGTGGAGAAAATTATGATGACTAAAGTATCTGGAATTCTAAAAAGTTTGAATATTACAATCAAAATGACAATGAAGACTGCTGTATGTTATGTTAAACACTGAAGGAATGACCAGGGGAAATAACTGGAAAGTTACATCAGGTGTCAGATCCAGAAAAAACAAGATACTTTATTTCAATAACATAGTTATGTACTCTTCCAGACTTTGTTCTCCATTCTTTCCTAATGGTGGCTGTGACTCTCATCTATACAAGTCTATACAAACTGTTGATTTTTGCCATTTATTTTTTTGTCTTTTTCTGAGGTTGAAGCCCTTAAAACTTTAGCAACAGAAACAATGTGATCAAAATCAAGAAATTCTTTATCATACAGAACCCTTCTTTAATGTGATAAAACTAAAAACAATATGTTGTAACTGTGTAAATAAATTAAATGTTTAAATAAAAGGTTTCTTAATTGCATTAGTATTCAACCCTTATGCTGTAGAAAGCCTACATGTAAATCAGTTCAGGTGTAAAAGAACAATTTCAAAGGTCACAAAATTAGCGTAAAAGTCTCTGTCTATGTGTAATTAAAGTGATTTAAATGGATTTTTAGGTAAATTAGTCTCTGCAAGCACCCTCAGATATTGGATTTCAAGCCACAGCTCACATGGTGATGTGACAAATTAATCCCAAAGACAAAGTAGTTTTCAAAGAAGTTAGGGATGAAGTGAAAGAGCGGCACCAAACAGGAGGTTACTTATCTCTTAAGAATGGTGAGGTCAAACAGTAAGAAGAGAAGAAAAAAAGTATTCCAGTCCTTACAAAAACCTGACCAGTATGGGGGTGTGGAAGAAGGAAGACCATACTGAAAAAGACACATTTTAATTGTCTTATCAGATATACTGCAGACACGTGGCAGAATATTCAATGGTCAGAAGAAACAAAAATGTTTTGCTCTAAATGCAAAGAGTTACAGTACATCTAGCACAATCCCAAAACAGTACATCACACAGGCAGACCCATTCCAAATGTAAAGCCTGGTGGTGGTGGCAGCATCATGGTATGGGTATGCTTCTCAGCACCAGAGGAAGACCTGAACTCGTTCCCCAAAAATGCAAAACTAAATTGAGAAATTACAATTTAGTAAGCCAATGTTTCAGTGTTCCAAAGCACAAGGCCAAAGCCATTGTGCTTTGATGAGAAGAAAGGTAATATCTTTCAGTGGCCAAGTCCTTCAGTGACTTGATTCCAGCAGAAAAATCACAGTGAGACTTGTAGACAGTGCAGTCTATTAATAATCCCCAACAAACTGTAAGAATGGGCACAAATTGAATCATTCCACTGCAAAACACCTGTCCAGAAAAGGTACTTCCAGTAACTATTCACTTAAGGGACTGAACACTTATGCAATCTGTAAATTTCACTACTTATAGTGTATCTTCTTTGGTGACATCCAACCTCCTGCACACATAACAGTTTTCAGTTTGATTTTTACACTTTTTAGCAAAAACAGTTCATTTGAAAAACATATATTACTCGTATATATTATATATTATAGTATATAATTGTAATATACTGTATTACTCGTAATTAATCAAAATGTGATATTTGTAGAAGGTGAGGCCTAAAATATATAAGTATCTACAGATGCTCAACACAAGATGTAACTGTGTAAACTAAAGCCAAATACTCAAATAAAACATCTAACACTCAGCATCAGCATAATGCATCTACTGTAGTATCTAATTTAGAATTAACCTTTTCTTGAGTAAAATACCATGAAGCATGGTTAACCATGTGTTACATGGCACTTGTGTCTTTTATTGTCTTGAACTGCTTGAAAATAGAGTAATATTCAGGCGCAAAGAACTATTAACAAAAGATTAAACACAAGGTTTCAGAGCCCTGCCTTCCACAAAGACTCTGAATACAGCAATACACTTTAATAAACCATAAAGAGAACCTGTATCCTAACAAACCAAACAAATCCTACCCAAGATTAAATTGATGCTCACAAATGAAGGGGAACCAATTTCCCTTTTCTAACAATGCATCACTAAAAAGAGACGTTTTTAGTCTGTTCATTCCACAATAAAGGAAAAACAAATTTCCAAATAAATAAGACAGCAAGCTCTCTTCCATAATAGAACTCAGAGGTTGGTACAGTTTCAGATTTTAGAGTACCTGGACAGAATTTATTTTCAAGTCTGATTGTAAAGGGGAAACTCATGGCACAGCTTCTGCGGATAATGGTTAAAGAAAATGATCCCTCCCTGCTCTGTGTCTTTACGTCCTCCTTTCATTCTGTATTTCTGCTCACACCTAGGTCCATAAAACTGTTTTGAACCCCTCTCCATCCTTATAGAAGCTATCTTAATTACCTCACTAAGAATGCTCCAGTGACTGCTGACTAACACATACATACAGTATGTTTTAATTCATAGGCTTTAATGATCTATCAGTGATTTCGTTTAACTTGAGTTAATTATTTGGACTCCTTTCGATCATCAGCACTTTTCACCCTGTTTACATTTCTCAAGGCCCAGTTGACAGCTGTTTAAATACAGGAGAACAATATTCATTGTTCCAAACTTTCAGAGTAAGGCAATCAAACTGAGAAAAGTGAACTTTAATCCCAGGTGAATTTCAGTTGCACCCATTTTTAGAAAAACTTGTATATAATGCTATTACTTTTGTTTTCCACAGATGTTGCTGTAAAGATGTTATGTACAAGATCTAACACTGATTTCACTTAATAAGCTAAGCTTTGGCATTTGTGCTACAGCAAGTAGCAGGAAAAGGGTGTGCATTTACAACTAGTGTTTTGTACAAAGGTTTGTGGGAGTTTGAAACATAAACACATAAGAAAAATTACAAACAAGAAACCTGTGCTTCAGAGCTGATGCTGGATATGAAACAACATTTCAGATCTCAGAATGGCCTTTTGAAATAAGTTTTTTTCAAAAGTACACTGAACCGCACTTTGATTTCTTGCATCAGGTTCTAGAAGAGCTGTCTGCTAAAAAAGTTAAAAAAAAACATGACAAACCTTCATAGCTCACTAAACTGTCCTTCAAAAAGACTGATTTGGAGTGTTGTTCTGTTTTCCACCTTTCTGTGGGGAATATAAGCTGAACATACAGTACATACAGTATACAATAGAAGATCATGTGTACATTTTCTTAGAGTGGATCCTGAATGAATACTGTAGCTGTTCAAACCAATTTATATGTAAAACAGCATTCAAAATTACTGTCTCTGATATTTATATTTGCTATGCGTATGTATAAATGTAGTGGTCGGGGACACTTCGTTATGCCAGCATCTCATTTCCAACAGTATGTCATTATAAAACATTCATGAAATTAGGCAATTTCTTAGGGTGCCATGGTGGTGCAGTGGTTAGCATTGCAGCATTGGGGCTCTTGGTGCAATTCCCAGGGTGCTGTTGGTGAGGTTTGTATATTCTCCCTGTATTTGTGTAGGTTTCTTCTCTTTTCTACCAAAGTCCATATACATATACTGATAGATTGATTGGCTTCTTGGAAATGTGGCCCCGGTGTGAGTATGAGTGGGTTTGTGTCATTATGTGCCCCGTGATGGACTGGTATACCATCCATGGTATATCCTGTCTTGTGCCTGTGGATTGATGATAAGCTGGATCCTGTCACTGAACCCCTCTGGAAAATCAAACCACAAGATGCAGTCCTCTCATCTGCACTGAGAAGAGAAAAGCCAGTTTAAAATTTGCTCCAGAGCAAATGCTGACATTTACACTTTGAAATTTAAAGTGAATATGTCCTTATAGTTACTGTACAGTCAATTGAAGTCACTGGGGTGGATACAAAGTATACTTTTGTTCTATTATTACCGAAAATACTGTATACTTGGACTTAAGTAAAAATAAAACATATATTATAAAACATATTATTAGAATAACATATCATGTTATTCGAAAGATTACACAAACCAGCATTTGGCTGTAAAGCAAAAAAAGCTTAAACTTTGCTGACCCAATATTTTGGAGGGGACTCTACGTCACTGATGTCATTTCAAAGCTTCTTGTAACATACAGTATGAATTGAGCTGGAATCCAATATTACCAAATTCTAATTAATAGAAGGGTTCTAAAGGTGTTGTATTACTGCCATAGATGATCTCATATTAAAACACCACAGAGCAGAGAGCTTCTTTAAACAAACATAGGGATGTGAATGGAACTTCAGCTATTAATAAGTTTATTTTTTTAAAGAAGACAAATGATTAACTTCCACATGTCGGTTGCAAAGGATCCCAGCTGAATCAAAGCAAATATGGTGGTAATGGAAAAAGCAGATGATATAGGTCGGGAAAGAGTCTGAAGTCAGTATATTGTCTTGTAATTTAGAGTTTCTCTCTACAACATAAAAAAATGACATTACATTCAATGATGTAACAAAGCCATGTGATGATGCCACATAGGTACTAAAGTCAAAGACAAAGCACAATGAACATTACTATAATACTTGGTTTATTCTAATCTTTTGAT